CACACTATGCCCCACTGCTGGCTGTAACACTGCGCCCCATACATCGATTTCATAAAGAAATTGGTCTCACATCAACATCAATTTTTTTTAGGTTAAATTTGGCACTTTATTAGAGCTATATCATCCTACATTAAAATTATGTCTAACCAAATAAATTCTGATATGAACCAGTTTTGAGTAGAAACAAAAATTAGTAACTGTCTTTATTTTACATTAGGGTTATAAAAATGAATACTTACCGATGAAACAATCAAAACACTTCCGAAGTTGATGCAAACACATCGTGGCATCGAACGTAACTGAAACTAGCTTTGACTTGAATGGCACCGGCGTTATTCGAGTAATGACGTCACGGCATTAAGTTTAACACTGTACCCCGTGTAACACTGTACCCCCTCTTCCCCTATTAGTTTTTAGGAACGCCAAGTATCAATTTCAGAATCTAAGTTAATTTTTGTAATACATTTTCCTATTTTTGACAGCAATACCTTTGAATTTTATCATTTATTCCCAATTATCCAAAACCAAAAAATGTATACACCTTTATTCCCCTATTTGGCATGAAAACATCAAGATACACAGTTTGAACGAGAAGAATATCAATGCCTTATAAAAAATCTATTATTGTCAAGAGAATTTCATCCCCAGAGATAATTGTACTCTCCAACTTCTTGAAGGAAAAACTTTGACAAATTGTCATATTATAAATGTTAATTTAGAAGAATCAGTATTCGAACAAATCGCAGTCGTTGAAGTCTTAATAATCCCGTCAAGAAGTGAACAAATTCTTTTAAAATGTAACAGTAACCAGTATATAGGCATAAGGTCACCTGTATTAATCAAAATACCAAAATCTTGTGAAATTTGGACCAATGAAAGAAGATATATCAACAACATTCAATTGAGCAGAGGAAAGCCTTTCATTCTACCGAATATCGACATAAAGAAAATTTCAAAACTTCAAAATCTTATCAAAATTCTAATACCTATACTAAATTAGATTTTAATGATTTATATGAAATTAATCAAATTTATAAACAATTAAAGCCAATTAAAGGAATTCAAAATAATTTTAATTATTCAAGAACTTTTGGAACAATTTTTGTAATTTTTATTTGCATAATTATTTTAATACTAATTAAATACAGAAGACAACTTTTAAGAAGATACAGAAGAAAGAAGAAAGAAAACGAAGACACTGAATTAGAAAATTCCACAGAAGGTGTTTTGAAAAATACCTCCATATTTTTTAAAACTTAAGTAGGCAGAAGTTATATATTGTGAACATAATATACTCTCTATGTTATAATTAAATTATCTTCGTTTAATAATCATTTTTAGTTTATAAATAAGAGTCAAACATTATTATTATTGTTATTTGAGGTAGCTTTAGTGTAGGCTTTAGTCCAGAGTTGTCTTACATATCCATTTAAGTGTATTTCTGCTTAATAAAAAATAAAATAAAATATCCGTTTTGGAATTTGTAACTAGCACGTGCCGCATGTGACGCGCACCTTTATTAGCTTGGAAGACGACCTTTGTTGTATTGTATCGATGGAAGACTAGTATTTTTAGCTTTCTTATTACAAAAATAAGCATCACACTTAATTTCAGCTTTGCGAATATAATTTTTTTTTATTTTTTTTTTGCTTATTTAGGTGGGCGGAAGACGTACTTTGTCGTGAAATTCAGGTGGAAGACGATATTTTCTAAACTTTATTTGTTTAAATTAATGTGTACAACAAGTTTCATGCATGCGAAAATGATTTTTTTTTATAATTTTTTTACTGCAATTGCAACCCTCCTGCAACCCCCTGTCGTACGGGTGCGTCGGAAGACCTTCATATTAGAGTTGCATAATACTTGCATAACTCATATAAAAAAAATTAAACTTGCGAAAAAGACCCGGAAATTTCTGTCGTTACCTCCCGGTCTAATACTAGACCACAGCTAATGTACTAGACTGTCAATACTAAATCATTGAACAATACGCTGTATTAGTGTGACATAATTTGTGTCCCAACCATGATGTAACTACCAAAAAGAAATGAATAAAATTGATCAAGGTACCAGTAAAAATCATCTAGGTTCGTTGGTATATTTACGGAAAAAAAATTGGCAGTAATTGAAATTAACATTTTCCTGTTTTAAGCTAAAAAAAAAGGTTCGCACAAAGTTCCCTTCACCCCATTTTTCCCCCTTTAAAGTTGAAATTTCCAGAAATCCTCCAGACTTGAGCTTCCTATACTTAGTAATTCTGGCTGTGCGTTGATGGGTCTGTCAGACAAACGATTTAATGTATCAAATACTGGACAGAGAGCAAAAACAAACTATATTATTAAATTATTAACAATACTCGTAATTAGAAAAATAATTAAATAGCTTATTGTCCAAATTAATTGAATGAACAAAACCTCTTATCCACCAATCAAAACGGCCATCAATCATTGATTAATTCCTTGTTATTTTCCCATACTCCACCCCAACATCAAGCCGAGTAATTGGCCGTATTATTTCTCGGCGAATGTAGCTCCGATCCTGCTGTTCCTGCTGCGTTTTATTAGCCCGTTAGCATTCTCCGTTGTGGGTTGTGTTTTGAGTCGCAATCAGGATCGCGGAAAATAGTTTTCGCGTCCCATAATGGCATAAAAACCATCAAGGTCAAGATAATAATCTCTAAATTATGGACATTGGAGAGCCAATGACTGTTTTTCGTTAGTAATTATTAGGAATTTCACATAAATAATACGAGAAGTGTTCTATAAAATTTTACGTTAATGTTTAATCACACCTAAAAATGGCGAATATGTCTTTTATTTTGTATTACACACCAACAATTGCAGAAAAAACCATAGGCAATGATATCCCAGAAAAATAAAACAACTAATAAATAAAATAAAAGGAAGGCAAGAAAAAATGGTAAATCGCCAGATTCCCAGAAGGTAAAGTAGTTCTCAATAGACTAAGACAACAACTATAAAAAGAAAGAAACACTATTAAAAATGAATCAATAAACAGATATCTCAGAAAATTGATGATCGATAAAAATGCTTTCTTTTGTAAAGCGACTTGGAAGCTTAAACGTCCAGTAGTCCACAAGCCACCAATAAAAGAAGAACACGAAAACTGGACAAGATCAAATAAGAATCTAGTATATTTGCAGATCATCTTGTAACACTCTTTTCTTCACCCCTAAAAATAAAGAAAAGGGGTTGGGGTGGCGCTAGGTTGATCTTCGAACAAGGGTTGCTCAGGCGCCAGTTTTGGTAACGCAGTCTACTCTGCGGCCCTGGGGTGCACAGTAAACCCTCAGCAGACTCAGTGGAGTCCAGGTACAAAAAAAAAATAAAACGGCCAGACCTTCACTGTTTACTTGACCTACACTGGGGTAATAAAGTAAAGATAAAAATAAAATTTTGTACTTCACTTTTACCTGCTAATAGTTAAGCTCTGAAAACGGAAAAAGTAAAGGGGTATTTCAAAATTAAACTCAGGAATTAAAACCAAATATATATTTATAAAATAAAATAAATAAGCAATAAATAAAATAAAATAAATGGAACTATAACCGTAAAATTAACTATGATTTATACTATACTGATGAGGTGGGGGAGGCCACATGGCCCATAGTCCTAATTAAATCTAATCTAATCTACTATACTGATGAGAAAATAAAAATAATAATGTTCTTTAAAAAAATAAAACGGTGGGCAGTAACACCCTTAGCACAAATGCTTTCCTACTAATGAAAACAACCGGTTTTAGTAATAAGACAAAAAAAAATCTACAACAGTAAAATTAAATGTGATTACGTATAAGAAAATAAAAAGTTAATAATTGTCTCTCTCGGTAATTAATGATTGAAATTTATGAACTGCGGTGAACTGTATCACTCTGCACTCATGAAAGGAAAAATTACTGTTGCACTTGTAAGAATGACAGTTATATTATTTTACTATGCATAATAGTCCAAATAACAAAGGACTTAAAAACGGAATTTTTCGACCAACATTTTAGGGATTACTGACGATTTTATCTTTATTTGTTCGGTTTAAAGTTTCTCTTACGTAGACATCTGGTAGTCCATAGCTTCTACAAGAGAGAAACCCTTTCTCCGGGCTGTTAAAAGACTAGGGGACTGAAACAGCTCTGATTATCGACGGAGGGAAACAAACGAATATCGCTATCACCCCCTGATTTACGCGAAAATGGATGAAGGGTGCTAATGCCCCTGGATCTAAATCCAATATGCTACCCTAACAGGTACTAAGAAATTAAAAGTACAGGTCGAATTTCTCATGTAAATAATAGAAACGGAAATGAATGTTGCAGGGAGAATTATTAGACAAAATTTTAAATAAAATGCCTACCTTGATTAAATATCTCGGAAACTAAATAACGATTATCGGTTTCAACTAAAATCCGGCACAATACTTAGACGGTCAAAAGAGCCCTCTCATCGAAGACATCTGCTTTTATCAAAAGTCGGACTTTTGCCGGAGTGGGGACGGTAGTTCCTACTCCTTTGTTATTAGTTGTTTTGCAAAAAAAAACGTTGATTGATCGGCATACTGATAAACCCACTAGAATTGCGATTTTAAGACATGATTTAATTTATTGCGATAATGAAAAGTTTTAAACTACGAGGGCTCTTGCAAAGGTTTAAAAACGGTAATTCTATGGAAATATTAGTTGCAAATGTTCATAGACGGAAATTAATTTTAGAAATTAATTTATGGAATAAATTAATGAAAATTTTAGTGACTTGGTCACAATCTCGTAAACAATTTCAAACAAATGAAGAAAAAGGACTTGATTTATTAAAATACATAAATAGACGGATATAATTTTTAGAGTAAAATAAGAAGAATAATATTTCAGGCTTAAATAAATTAAAGGAGTACCTAAAGGAAGTATTCTGGGACACATAATCAAAATAGACTTGTGAATATAACGTTAACATCTTTTAAACCGTAGATTATTAGATAAAACAAACTTACCTGGTTTACAAGGTCTATCTATGGCGAATTGGTTACAAACTAGATTGTCAGAAACGTTTACGCATATGTAGCAGGTGACTGCGTATTTATCAAAATCGGATAGGTCTGACGCTGAGTCTACCAGGTTCGATGCTAAGTTCTTCTCTTCCATAGCAGTGTTTGTCATGAAAATGCAGCTAATTAGCATACTCAGTCTGAACATTACAATCTGTAACAAAGAGAAAACAAATATTAGTATTTGAGCATGAAAAGAGCAACTTAAAAAATGTCGCTCAACGTGTGATTGTAACGCTAAAGCTGTAAATTTTGGAAGAACATGAAAGGAACAAGAAAGACCTGTTTCCCAATGTAAAATAGGATGGAGCGTGTAGAAAAGCTGTGTCTTATTATGTGGAAAACTAATATAAATTTTTTATTAAAATAAAATAATATTTAGAGGGTCCGTAGGGCAATAAGATTTTTAAATATGTGCGTTTCTGTTACATAATATTAAATTGTCAAAACAGTATCAATTATTTTAATTTAAATGTACATTAACTAGCCAAAGTGTCATATTAGTATATAGATGAAAACCATTTTTGATTTTTTGCTTTTAACAAAGGTTAAGAGATCCCGCAGACCAAGTGAAAATCATGATTTTTTGGTTATAAAATTAATGCAAACCTATTTTATTAAAATAAATTTATCACACTTTCTAGCTATTCCTCGCTTAATTTGAGTGATATAATGATGTGGAAAAAATGACCTAATAACACAAAAATTAACCCAGAGCTCACCACGTGGAGGCCCACCCTGCCCCACCCAACCTTCCAACAAATGTAGGGCAGTGTTTATAATTTAAATTGTTTTTTGTTTCTAATTTGGATGTTTTTTTGGAACTTTATCTTAGAAAGAATATATCCATCTTTTCTAGACTCTCCACAGAAGATGAAGCGTCGATTTTAAGCTTTATGTGTCGTTCAATTATTTGAGTGTAGCAAAGGAATTCTAAAAGATCTTGTAAGTCACCTGTTCCAATAAAATTCATAAATTCATCTAAATACTTAAATAATGTGGGAGGGTTAATGTCTTTAGTATTTTGCCAATCAATAACATCAATGTAGTTTTTTTTCCGTTTTATGGCCTAGGTATATAAACCTAATATGCTAATCTCAGTTTGTGTTTAAATTCTCAATAATGTGTGTTCTGTGAAGGCTTTGTTACTGTTTCCCAGCGCCACTTCAGGAACAGCATTGTTAATTAGAACCCAACAGTGAATGGTCGAGTAGGGAATCCTACCAAAGCATCAGAATTAATTTTAAATAATTAAATTAAATAAAAAAATCCCGGCCAACGATGGGATTCGAATCAATGTAGTTGTTAACTTCAAAATTAATTTTAGGTATTTTGAAGATCCTATGTTTATTGTCATATTTCTTTTCATACTCTTTACCTCTTAAAATTCGACGGAAGGCAAGTTCTCTTATATGAGGTAGTGAATCTTTAACCATGCTGAGCAAGACGTTTCCTGGATGGCCAAAATAAGTATTGCTTTGGATAGTACCATCAATTTCTTTTCTTATAGATTCATCCAAATATCTTGAAACCTTTATTAAATAAAATAGATTTTTTGCAGCATCAGTGCATAAATAATTGCTTCTAATTTTGAACCAAACGGGAACATATCGATGCTTGAAAGGTAAAAGGTCATAAGCGACACATTTTAGTTAATTAATTGGCGCCACTAAATTTCTTTTTTTTTTTTTTAGTCGAATGAGCGGAGTTTAAGCTTCCTACTACGATTTTCTTGACGCTTAAGTCAAACGAAAAATAACTAATTCCAAGCAATTGTTTCTACTAAGCGACATAATAAGGGATAATTTGAGATGACTGGCATTTAGATTATTTGGGAAACAATTTAAATCTTACTTACACCATTTAGTTATTATATTTATCTTTAAACATTGGTGATTATCCTGTTTTGCTACAAACCAAATATTAAAAATATTGCTGCTTAAGCTCTTTTACCATGCATACATACAATATCGGAGATCGTGGAGTTTACCAGTTTTTTCCGAGTAGAAAATGTTATTTAATTTTTTACACCATTTTACTCCATTGAAGATTTATATAACTATAAATTTATCATGTTTTAGCAATATTAAATCATCTAAAAAATATCCTTAAATCGTTTCACTTGACATTAACATTTTTTTTTTATCTGAGTTGTTTTGTCAATGGCAAATAAAACTATTTAATATTATAATAATTGGCATTATTAATTGAAAATATAAAGAATTTACCAAAAATTCTAAAAAAGTATTTTTAATGTTTTAAATTAAAAATTCAAAAGAAAACACGTATTGCAATAACGTCAACAATTAGGTTATTAATCTAGTCAATAGCTTATATTGAACTAGGGAATTCACGGTAGAACGTGGGCATTCTAACAAGTACAACTATCACGTAAATTTTGGGTTTATATAGAGAGACTGGACAGAAAGAAAGGACTCGAGTGAGGACTGAGAACCAAGACTCTTGTTTTCGGGGGGACTATAAATCCAGAATCCAGAATAATATTATCCAGAACCCCTAATAATATTTGAAACATGTAATAGAGGTTTTTCTCTACAAGTTGGCATGAAAATGTGAATTTGGCAAAAGAGGAGTTACGAGATTTGCTAATTAGGGTAACGAATATGTGACAACTTGCCAGGATGCCTTTCTGCAAGTTTTTCTGAAACTTTTTCGGAAGCTACAGCTGGACTATTCTCCAATAAATATTTTTGATCTGTGGTTGGATTTAATGTTATATTTTTAGAGCTTATATTAGCATATATATTAGTTTGCAACAAAATACCAATAGGTCCTGTTGTTTTACTGTCTAATTTATTAATTCCATGGAATTGGTAAATGAACCAATGCAAGTGTCGTTTTAGTTTTAAATCAATCATCTTAGTATCCCTCCCTTCGTGTCGGTATTGATCACAGTTCAATCACATCCTAATGCGACAAGTTGTGATGGATCGGTGTTTGATCTAAGCTAATTTTGGATTAAAAGTTTTTTTAAAAAGGACGTATTCATTGAAATATTTGCAATCTTTCTTCTCTCATGCGGACCCTGAAGATGATCGAAAATTGGATAGATATTTTCTTTTTTTGTTAAATTTTAGAGTTATGATCATGGTTTGTCACCTAATGAGTGAAGCAAGAAAAAAAAAAAACGTTTGCTTGTTCGATTAAAAAAATTATTTTTTAATTTTTTTTTGACATTCTTTGTATGAATATAATCAATTATTTAATAACTCTTTTTAATTATTATCGCTGCGATGTAAAAAAAAATACAAGATCAGACTTTTGAACTAAATATTTATTTTCTGGATCAAAAACAAGAAAAAACTGTTACATAAAGCTAAATATTATAAAAATATATATAAAAGAAAGTGGAATATTCTTACATTTCGTAAATATCGATTTCTTTTTCAAATGAATAAGTTACTTTATCGTCAAGATTCGTAACATTAGGAGTTGGTAGAATGGCAATCACGTCTTGTAAATCAACTACAAATTCATCATTAGGTTGGGTAGCAAATAGTTTTCGTGATTTGTCACACGATTTTAGCCCTAAAAGCTCAATTTCTTGTTCTCCTTCGACAGAATTCATGCCCTGTACCACGGCTGCGTAACGATACACCGTCTTTTTCCTAGATCCCCCCAGGACCTTCACTAATACGAGTTTTCCAACTTCGATATCTTCAATTCGGGGTTCAAAGTATTCAAATTCATGTCGTACAGCCTCTTTAACGTCTTCTTCTAAAGGTTCGTCATCTGAATTGTCGTTTGTTACTGGTTCATTGACATCTGATTCGCTAGAGCTATCACTGTTTGCTGTCACACTTCTGCCAGGCTCAACATTAAGCTTCTGGCGTTTTATGTTTCTTCTTGTCGGTGCTGCTGAGAATCGTTGTTGTTGTAAATAGTTTAAAAGGTTTTCACTGACATCGGCCCCAGGGTCATTATCATTAGCTGGAATTTTGCGCAAAACACGCTCTGGATCAATTGGTATAATTCCAGTTGCTTGAAATGAACTGATGAGGTTATTCTTAATGGCATTATCAGATGTGTTCTCCATTTCGGCTAAAGTAGACGCAAGCAGTTGCGGGAAATCCTTCTTATCTATTGACGTTTGTTGTTTATGTGCCACCTTCCAATTCGTCAACACTTTTCTCCACGCATTCTTGAATGGGCGGAAAAATCCCACGTCTAACGGTTGGGTAAGATGCGTGGAATTTTTGGGCAAGCAGACAAAGGCAATGTCGTTTTCCTGGCACTGCGTTAAAACAATATCAGTGAAATGGGACGAAAGGTTGTCCCCAAGCAACACTTTGCGTCCTGGTAACCGCTTGGCATGCGGCAAAAAGCATGATTGAAACCATTCTGTAAATGTTTGCGAATCCATCCATCCGTGATGTGTCCTGTTATAACGTGATCCGGAACTGCAGCACCTTTTATTGCAGCATGGATCTCCTTTTGGACCAAATTCTACCCATTGTTGCCATAGCTTCTCCGCCTTGTAAATGACGTACGGGGGTAAAAGTACGCCAGACCCGAAGCCGCACATCATGACAGTTATGGAAGTTTTCGTAAAATTACATACACGTTCGGGATACTTAGTGCCTCTGCGAAAGAGCATTTTCTTTTTGCCAGGGTCATCCTGTAAATTTGTCTCGTCATAGTTAAAGACGTTACAAACGGGAACGTCTGTCAGTGTTTCGCGCAAATTCTCGAAATATTCAACAATGGTTTCCCGAGAAACATTTGCGCGACATTTTTTTATATTGGTGGCAAGTTTTTGGCTGATTTCATCTTTGTGGCGGTCCAGTAAACCATAAACCCAATCTTTACCTGGCATATTTTCCTTGAATCTCGTTATGATACGGCCTTTGCTATCTAAATAGTTTTTTGCTAGATTTCTTATGTCTAAGATAGTCAAGGGAAATCCCCATTCTCCACACAAAGTGGCATGCCTGATGAAAGCTTTTTCTTCATTATCAGAGAAAATCTTTTGTCCTCCTGTTTTTCTGTTGCGTAAACCATTAAATTTATTTCTCAGTGTACCAAAAGGAATTATAGATTCAGCTGATGCACGACGTAATGACCATCCATCATCAGCTACTTTCCTTAGTGCTTCTTCTAATATTGTTATTGCTGTCTTAAAATTTTCCTTAAAAACTTCAAATTTCATACGAGAAATTTGCATACGCAGGGTGAGATTGTTCATGGGGTGAGATTGATCATTCGATGACCAATCTCGCCCGGACTAAGCGATCAATCTGACCTCTTCAAACAAATTAAAGTATAACCTCACAATTCACGATCCAAAATAAATAAATTTCGGAATATTACATGCAGAAACATCAACAAAAAGCGCCATGCAATCAGTTTTCTCGTTACTATATCACAATTTGACTTACCAATCAAAGTTCTAGAAGTTGTAAATGGAAACAAAATCAGTTATGCAATTTAAATTGAGTTTTCATACACAAAACAGCGACCTAACGACGTGACCTGTACACATTTCCTTCGGCCATGTTTCTGCAAAACAAACATGGCGGTTTGACACGAAACGAATCGACGATTCGCGCGCCAAACTTGAATTAATATAAATGCAATCGAGTGATCAATCTCACCCCCGGTGATCAATTTCACCCCAAATGACGGTATGTTAGGAGTTATTGTACAAAAATGCATATAAAAATCAGTGATGTGCCTAGGGCTGTGCTTGAGCCGCCCCTGCAAAAACTACCTCTTTTATTTATATATTTGAAAAAAAATGTATTTATAGATAATATTGGATTGGCTACATAAAAATAGTGTGCTACCCGTCCTCATAGGTTCACCATGCCACTGATAAAAATACACATAAATTATTAAATTTAATAGTAATTAAAAAAATTATTTTTTTAATTAAACAATTAACAAAAAATTTACAATTAAAAATAAACACTTGATAATAATTATTATACATATTTTATAAACTATTTGATTTAGTAAATGTTCAACAGTCCTCCTGCTTTTTGAATACACAAATATAAATAAAAGAGGTAGTTTTTGCAGGGGCGGCTCAAGCACAGCTCTAGGCACACCACTGTTTTTTTATGCGGTTTTTGTTTTGTTAATATGTTAAGTCTAGGACGGACAAATTGCTCTAGAAATTCAGTTAAAAAATTGTAAATAGCTCGTTAACTAAAAAAGATACAAAGTTCATTTCGCTATAAAAAAAATTTTAAAATTCATAGTTCTTCTTGATTTTAAGATCGATAAAGCAAGTTTCTTAATGTCAAAAAATACGGAGAGGTTAAAAGGTACCCAATCCCCCAACTTTTTTTAAGGGGGTCGCTTTAATTTTTTTTCTTAGAACATTGGGCCTTCAAATCTATAGCACTGGCAAAAAATTCAAAGAAAAACTGCAATAGCAAACTTTTTACAAAAAAAAACCGTTTTTTTGAATATTAGTTTAACTTTGTTAGGGGCCAGTTTTTAATATAGGTAAATATAGCCAAAATCCACTTATTTTTTGGTCATCTATCTGAGGAAGAATTTATGACATACCTTTTTGAAACACCCTGTATAAGGAGTACTTTTTCTAACCATTGGTATATTGACAAAGCTAATTATTAGTGTATTATTTCGTCACTCACTCGTAATAAGTATTTTATTGCAATTTTTCTTGCTACTACTAAAATTGTGGCAAATCCTAATTTAATGTCAACTTAAGTCACTAAACAGGTACACCAACTAAGTTTTAAAGAAGCTATTTTACTATACGATATAATAATTTATTTGAAATAAACAAACACATAAGTCAATTACAGATATGTATATAACAAAAACAAACTTAAAAAATAGAAAATAAAAAACAAATTTTGGTCATTAACTTAAAAATAAGTAGGTACTGGACATATCATTTTTCATAACATAATATCACAACAACAAAAACAACTTCAAAAATAGAAAATGAAAAAAAATTTTTGGTCACTACTAAGAAGTTAAACAATATTTTTTAACTTAAAAACTTAGTGGAACATATTTTTATATATCAACAAAAAACTTTAAAAATAAAAACAAATTTCTTGGTCAAGAAGTAAAGTTAAAAAATATTTTTTAAATAAAAATAGGTAGGTACTGGACATATCAATTAGTTTTCATTTTGTATACAGTAACAGTTCTTGTAAAACATTAACTTGTTTTTATTCAGTTTCCTGTTTTTTGTTTTCTAACTCCATCTTCTCTTTGTGCCTAGTGTCTCTCTACTCTCGTTCTATTTCTTTCATCTTGTGGTAATTCATTTTTGATTTAAAATATTCTTGGGTGTAATTTTTACGTAATTGTTGGATTTGTTATATATATATACTCTGTAAAGATTTATCTATAACACTTTGCTGCCATTTTCTGAAAGTGTTTTTTCACCATTCTTTCCGAGATGATGTCCTATACAAATTTCTTTTTCTTTGCATGTTTTATTTCATCTGGATGTTCAGCATATAACGTAATCAACCTCCTAGTCACATTTTCACTCCAAACTTAGTCATTTTCAGAGGTACCTCCAGTTAGTGTGCAATCATTTACATTTATTTTGGATTGTTGAACATTTTCCCCTGTACCATCAACACTTTTATTATCTCTATATATATGGTAAAAGCTTAGTCTTTCTTCTGAAGTTTGTGAACTAGTTTCATTAAAAACTTTTAAACAGGGCTTCTCATGTTCATCAAATGATATTAAATTATTTTGTAACCATATGTCTGCTTGGTTTTCTGTATAAAATTAAACCTAGACTTGTTTAATTTCTCATTAAGTTAATTATCCATCCATTCCGATAACTAATTATTTGGTAAGACATTTCATAAAATAATTTAAAATTTCAGATAATGCCCAGAGATAACAGCGACTAATAATTTCCTAAAATTTCTTGACTTGGCAACAAAACAACAAAAAAGAAATAGTTAAAAAGTCAAAACACTACTTTTAGGTTAGGATCAGAAGATTCTAATCTAAGAATCAAACAAATAGAGATATTAGAAGGGGTAAGAGGATTTCGCAAATTACGAATTATGATTCTACTGAACATTATTTAGAAATAACAAACGAACGTTGCACTTTTCGAATCCTTAGATCTTGTTCACGATGTATCGGAATCCGTGGTACGAACGTAAGCAACTTATGTATCGACCCTATTGTTTTCCCTTTTAACGATTGTTACCCTTCTAAAGTAATTATCTAATATTGACTTAACCCGTGGAATTTTGGTATCTACTTCTGAGTGTCCTTTTGTTAATAAGGCCTACTTTTATTGAATAATGAAATTGGCACTCAACAGCTCTGATATTTCAGTTTCATATAGTGTACTTAATGTGTAATCGGCCATAACAACTGTTAATCTAGAGAAGAAAAGAGTGCAGTAATTTAATTTGCAGAACATAGTACAGGTTCTAGAGGTAGACATTTTATTTATACATCATCCTTCAATGCTTATTTGTAATTAAAATGAAAATTGTAATACATCTATTAAAAGTTTTCATTTAGAGTTTCCGTTTAGATTTAATCATGTTTCTATGGATTTTACTGTGTAAACCTTTTCTTTTGACAGATAAGTCAAACTTTATTTATTCATAGCCGTATCTTTTGAATTTTAATTGATTCTGAATTTGCTATTAGTATATACCCATCATAACTATACAGTTATATAAGAATTGTGAGTGCATTAGAAAATATTGTAGGAACAAGTACGCGCAAACGACCTTGTGGACATAAAGCATTATCTTTAGAAGAAAAAAAAAATACGTGTGGCACTCGGATACTGCCGCGGTAAAGCTATTGCATAGCATTTTTTTATCAACTTATGCAATTATAATTATTTATTTATTTATTTTATTCATGCAGTATTTTTTTTCTTTGATATTAATTCAAGTTACACTTTTTGAGCGTGGTGACCGATAAGAAAACGAATTTTCTTTCGCCGCACCGCTGTGCCGGTCGGAGTGAGGGGTGTTAGGTTTTTTTTCGTTACGGAATTTCTTGATTCGGTCGCTGAATAGATTTAAAAGATAATTTTGTTGTAATTAATACCACAAGATGGCTTTCATGAATTTCATTTCAGAGATACTTTTGTAAAGTATAATACCACACGTTGTTAGTCAATCCCTTTATTTTTCGTTTGCATTTACATTTATATTATCACAGAATATACAATAACAATTAATTTTATTTAATTATTTAAATGTACATTAGAACAATATTTTTATTCCAATTTCAGTCTCTCTAGTTCAATATTTTGAAAATAATTTTGAAATAAGTCAGCATTTTTATTATTATAATTTACACATCGAACTAGATACGAAATTGGAACGTGTTTATTATTAATTGCATATGAAATTAAACATTTTAATTCAATAAATAATTAATTTCATATGCAGGATGTTAATTTAATTGGTGAATATAAAGAACAATGTTCAAATCTGAAAAGTCGCCGCGCTCAAAGCCCGCGATAAAAGCTATGCAATATCTTAAAAATTACAGAGTTACTTAATGTGTTTTAATTTATTATACTTTCCAATTCAGATTTAATTAATAGCTTTTAACCAACTTACGATTCAGCATAGAAAAAGTTAATAGGTAGGTGTTTGCAATAATGCATTCCAAAATATAGAAACTACTTCCTAGAATCTTTTGTTCGAGCAATAGAATCAGAAGAATGTTAGCTGCTTTTCTAATCAATGTCTCCACAACAGGTTTCTCACAGGGTAATAACCTGGACCCAAGTTGTTTAATATATGCAGACAATTTCAAACTGTTTCTAGAGGGCCACACCGGTACATTAAAATACCTACACGATACCTGTGTTGCCTACTGATACAAACTCGTTTAAATGCGCCTAATTCTGTGTATCAACAAAACACACAGGATGAATGTTTACATCTATGAAGGAAGATTATATTATATTGCAGTGTGATATAAACTCGGTACCTGACCAATAAATAACGTGTTAAGGGTGTGCAATGATATGTTAAATTACGTAGAAAATGTAGACATTTACAAAGTTAAGACCTCAGAAATATAAAGGCTGCTCAAGCAACAAGATCCAACTGTGACAAAATAAAACAAAACATACTTATTTATAAAATTTTATATAATATACTTAGGATAAGTTTTATTAATTTAAATTTTTTTTAATAATGTCCTTATCTAAACCAATTTGATACTATTTATCTGTTTTAATAGTTATTCGCCCAATTGCAAGAACGCTTGTTAAATCTTTGAATCGCATTATATATTCATTTTGCCAAAGAAAATTTTATGCATTTTTATTTCAATCTTTTTCTCAGTGCGCAAATTTGAAACATTTTTCCCATCGAGACGAGTTTACTTGCGGATATACCAGGTCTTCAACAATACCCGAAACCCACGTGATCTGATAACCATCAAAAACCCATCGAAAGGGCCTGATTTGACGTAAAAGGAACTAAACTGAACTGTCAATCCTGTCAGAAATGTCACTGGCGTTCATTTGGGGACTGACAATATTTATATTATATTTGTTTACATTTTATAAACACCCTTAGTCCATTTTTCATTTAATATTAATAAAGCAATTAGTTATTTTTAGAGAATATTGGTAACTTAATTCTTTTTTGTTGGTAAGTACAAATTTATTTACTGTAACTCGTAAAAGTTAATGACTATATAATTTATTTTAGGTAATGTTATACTGGAACAAAATTATTTTATATTCGTAATTGTATTCGAAAATTTGAGGAACGTTTTCCAGGTGAATAAATGGAATGTGATTCTTTTTTGTCGTCATAAACAAATACTTGTTCAAAAAAAGGAAAAAGGTCTAAAATGCCCAAAGTAATAACAATAGCTGTTGAAGATGTGCAAATTAACATGGTGTTAATTCCCAATAAATTAGTAAAAAAAAACAGCACCTCAAACAGGTATGAACGGTGTTTTAAAGACTGACTCTGGCGAGTGAAATTCAAAACATATTTTTTTTTAGGTTTATCACTACGAACTAGCCATAAAGTTAAAAAAAAATTCTGATAATGCATCCCCTATAAAGTTTCGATACTGCAACAATCATTTTACCTTAATTTTGTTAAACCTACATATGGAATATTACAGATCGCTCAATTCAAAATCGTTTGTGACTTTTATGAATTGGAGTACCTATATTGAATGATATACAAAATATAACTGAAGAGAAACTGCATAATGTGTTCAAAAAAGAACGTTTAATGCTTGCATTAAAGCTGGTGGTAAAGATTTTGAACAGATAGGTACTGTGAATTAGTATCGTTTGTGCACCACCAATTACTACTCAATAACCTTTTAAATAAAATAGTTGTTTATAGATATGCCTTTATAATTTAAAGTGAGAAGTAAGAGCTTTAAAGTAAAACAAATATGTGCTTGTTACATTAATAATATTAATATTTTTTTGTAAGCATATAAATAACAATGTTTTTTGTAAATGGTTTAAACCCTGTAACAAATAAATAATAGAACAAACTTAAATTATGTGTTTATTACTTCCCATTGTCCAGGTTCAATTCCAGTAAGTTTTAAATTTGTTTACTTAAACTGCAATAATTGCCAAATACTGCCATTGTCTTCTGCCTATCGTATTTAGAGTTTCAGCTGTAGCTAAATTATCTTACGACCAATTCCACCGTTGTGTTAAACGAAGTTTAAAATGACATTTTTACATTAACAATGTCATTTTAATCTCGGTGGAATCGGCCCTTAAAGAGTCAATCTAAAGTAAATAATTTTTAATTTTATTCATATTTTAATGCATAACATTTTTATCCATAACTTTTTTGTGCCATGTTCTAGTAAAGATTTTTTTTAGTAGTAGTGACAATAACTAGTACGAACCATATTTCAGTTTATTATTCTTTTCGTTAAATACAAACTAGAGCTCAGTTTTTAAGGTTATGTTATTTATATCATAATTTTAAAAATTAGATTATTGAATTTGATTAAATCTAATTAAAATATCGAATTCTAACAATAAAATACAATAATGTAAAGCATTTCTAATTAATATTATGATTTTGTGTTGTAATTCTAACAGTTACCTAACTGAATTTTGTTCTCGTAGTTGCAGACCATAAAAAAAGAAGATCTACGGCACTGGCTCAAATTTAGGGATTTTTACTTTTATTTTCACCAATCGCTGTCATGACGATTTGGTCACGTGGGTTTTCGGTATTGTTGAAGACCCAGTACATACAAACACACCAAAGCATTGAAATAATACCATTCATCTTGAATATAGTACACCTTTTCTCTGTGTAGTTACCGAGATACAAGGTGTCGAAAGTTTGAAATTAAAAATCAGAATTTGGCGTATATTCTTTAAGGAGGTCCTTTCGCCACACCACTCGCCTCAAATGTTAAAAAAAAAGTTATTAGATTATGACTAAAATTAATTTTTTTCTAATAGTTGAAGTCCTTATTTATCTAATACTGAACTTTTAACTACACCTTACCTTGCAAATTTTTGAGATTTTTTTTTTAAAAATGTGAGTATTTGTACAGTGCCTCACGAGAAAGTAAGTCCTCAACAACAATTCTCGATTTATACTATTATTTATTGATTAGATGGAGTAGAAAAAACTAATAATAAAGTTTTTAAAATATTTAGATTTTGTTTTATACAATAAAATATATATATAGTAAACCGTGGAACTTATTGAGAAATTAATATTAAAAAATCACAAAAAATTGTCAAGTAACCTAGTTGAAAATT